GGAAACCCTGTACAAGGTCGCTATGGGTCGGAACCGACTTGACGACACTTAACAACAACAACAACCTGGAAGGGGGCCCATTACCTCTCACTCCATCTCTACTCGTTCTCTTTTGTTCCATAGAGTGGCTGGTAGGTTTGAACCGCTGACCTCTTGGGGAGCAGCAGAATGCTTAGCCATTGCGTCATCAGGACTCCTTCCATCTCCACTCAAGGCAACAGACTGTACACAATTGTGGAGAGTAGCCTGCTATGGTCAGGATCAAAGGGCGGAGAAGCCCTGTACAGAGAAGCCTCTTCTGTCTGTCCCAGAAATCAAGAATTGAGCTTTAAGCTTCTCAGGAAAAGCACAACTAGTATGTACCCCAGAGCAGAACATAAAGAGGTTAAGGGACTCAATGAGACACAGATGTGGACATGAGTCTACTGAGTCTACTGGTAGTCTAATAAATCAGACCTGTCATGACCTAAATGGACCTTGTGCTCCCGAGACCTTCTAAAATCACCCTTGGGGCAAAAGTGGGCCACTTCTGGCCTGAGTGCTTCCCTTGAATACAAACCACCTGGGGAGCTTGTTGAAGCAGAATCTGACTCTGCAGATCTTGAATGGTCCTGAGACCCTGCATTTCTAACCAGCTCCAGATGAGGCTGATGTCCGGGGACCACCCTTTGAGCAGCAAGGTGCCACCGTAGACTAGTGCATCAAAAGTAGCAAGAGCCCTTGAGTGATCTGAAGGTGGCCAGACACCCATCCTGGTGTTTGCAAGAAGCAAGCTCCCAGAGAGCATCTCATCCCATTCCTACAAGAGGAAGAGCCCAGATTTATCAGCCATGCCAGAGGGCAGTTCTAGGTTCTCTTGCACCAGGGTTAGGGAGGGGACTGTAAAATGCAGTGAGAGAAGACTTGGAGTGACCAAGGACCTTCATCCACATGACTCCTTTCATCTCTGGCTCTTGGCCAGATGCTGGGGTTTGTGGTGAGACAAGGCATCCTCAAGGAGCTTACACCCTGGCAGGCGAGACCAACACCTACTAAACTAACTCTGATATGGCGTGAGCAACATTCCACCATTGACGTGTACAGGAAGTTCAATAGGCCCTGAGAAACTGCAAGGAAGCCTGCAAGATTCATATACCCATGGGGGCTTATGGAGAGGGCAACATTTGAACTGGGCCTCAAAGGAGGAGCAGGAGTTTGCCAGTTGGGGTAAAGCTGGGAAGAGTATTTGAGGCAGAAGAGATGGGACTGGCAAACAGCACACTACATCCAAGGTGTAGAACATTCTGGTCACTTAGGGGAGTGGGCTGGGGGCAGGAGGGAGGCCTCACTGTTGGAGGTCAGACAGGGAGGAAAGGTCTAACGCATGAAAAGAGGGAGATTGAAGGCGAATAATTTTAAGCAAATGTAACATAAAACCTCTTCCTTTTTGACCTTCAGTGTGGTAAACAGTAAATGGATTGCTCAAAGTCTTCTTATTTTACATGCCTGGACTCTTAAATGTGTACTTTTTTTTTTTTTTGGGCTGTCGGCTTTTTGCCTCTTAACATTAAACATCAGCACTTCCCTTGGTTGTTATTATTAGTGCTTTGGAAACATCACTTTTGAATGCTGCACAAACCCTGCGGATACACACAATTCCAACCAAACTGACTGCTGGGCATTTGGCTGTTTCCAGTTTTTCATGACCATAAACAGATCCTTTCCTGAAGTTCAGATCATAACCTTGGCGAGAGTCGACAGGACAGAATTAGAATCACAGGGTGTGAACATAAGCCTGAGACTGTGACACATGTGGCCAGACTGCATCCCAAAAGCACTGTGGGAAGGGAGTCAGATACTGGGCTAGCGATCCAGATTCCAGACATGGTCTCTCTCGTGTGGGGAAGAGAAGCAGCACCGGGAGACACAGCTATGCCAGGCGCTCTGGGAGGAGCTGGTTCAGTCCCGAGCTTGTGTGAACACCAGGGCAAGAAACATGTGGTTCTGTAGGCTGTACAACACGAGCGAAATGCTGGACTCCACAGGCCTAAAAGGAGCTGTTCTAGACTGCTTTTCTCTAAGAAAGTTCTTACTGAAATCTGAAATCCTAGCTCTGGGAATTAGCACGAAACAACAGGACCCAAGATAGACTTCCGACAACAAGGGGAATTGGACTAGCTTTGAGGACTGTGGGGATTGAACCCAGACCCAGAATTTCTACTTGGTTTGGCCTCCTTCTCCGACCCCATCCCTTTCTTCTGGGATCCTCATTATCTTTGCAGATGATATAATTTTTAAAACAAAAACAAAACAAGAGTCTTTTTTAGGGGGACCCAGTTATTCTGGGAAAAAGGCGTGAGCCCTGGTACAATGGTTAGGCATTCAACTGCTAACTGAAAGGTTCAAGGTTCAAAACCACCCATCAGCTCCATGGGGTAAGTTCTGCTCTGTCATATGGGGTCACTCTGAGCTGGAATCCGCTGCACTGCACCTAATAGCACTTGCACTATAGAGTCTGTCCCAAGGGCTGCCTGGGCCTGCTCTGCTCACTCCCTAGGTCCAAGGTGAGCCCTGAGTGCAGGCAGCCAGCTGCCTCTGAGCAGGACGCTGGCTCCTTACCTGCCAGTGCGGGGATGGTGACTCGGTTCCATTCCCACGGCTGGTCGTATTCGTCGGCGGGCCTGTCGTCGTCCTGGGGGAGTTTGCTCTCCCGCAGCCGGGGGCTGACGGTGCTCTCTGAGTCGGAGTCGATGCTTTGGCCTTCTGGTTCGTAAGGGGTGTCGTAGAGCTGGATGCCTCTGTGCTGGGACCGAACACTTTCTTGCCTCTGAAATTCTGCAGGCAAACAGGAAGGAAGCAGAGTTGTGACGGGACCTCTGCCAGGTCGCACCCCAGGCCCTCTTCCTGCTTGTCACCGCCTCTACCCATCTGAGAGGCATGGTCCTACTCTCCCTAGGTCAGGCTTGGCCGCGCACCAGCCCAGACACACAGGGCTCCTTACAGATGAGTGGGGGTCTCCCAGCCTCTCTGGACTCCTACTCCCCATGTGTAACTTGAAGAGGAGTTACACCGAATATGCCAAGGTACCATTCAGCTCACAGAGTCCACTAAAAGGGGACCCGCGGGTGTTGTTTGCTCTCCCTACACCTCAAGTAACCCCTTCTGTGCCCTCCCCCACTGTTCCTATCAGACTGAGACATGTCTGAATAAGGAAAGAAAAGCTCAGAATCTTCTGGAGAGGATGCCAAGGCCCAGCTCCAGGATGGGGAACTGCCCATGTAGAAAAGGCCCCAAATATGGAAGTGACATTCATTCCAGTGGTAGCTGGAAAGATGATGACTGGTACTTCCCAGTCAAACAGGTAGACTTCATGTGCTTTGATGATGAATAGCTACTGTGCACCAGGGCCCGTGCTGGGGGTGTGAGGGAGGCAGGGGGGTTGGCTGCAAGGACTGCACTTAGAAAACCATGGTTTCAAGATAAGGCACACATGTACCTAAAACCCACTGCCACCGAGCTGATTCTGACTCACAGTGACCCTACAGGACAGACTAGAAGTGCCCCACAGGGCTTCCTAGCCTGTCATCGTTATGGAAACAGACTGCCACATGTTTCTCCCAAGGAGCCGCTGGTGGGTTTCAAACTGCCCACCTTTCCATTAACAGCAGAGTGCTTAACCCCGGGTACCACCAAGGCCCCACTACACATGTGCCTTCACCACTAGAACACAGGGTGGCAGGGCAGGAGGAAAGAGCGAACATTTGAACTGACACCTCTGATATGGAGAAAGGGGTAGAAAGGATATACCAGGAAGGGCAGGGCCAAGACAAGAATGGAAAGGCAGATGGAAAAGGTGGGTTCCCCGCCAACGTTTGTCCCCAGAGGTGACAGCTGAAGGGAGGCTTGATATCATAAGGCTGGACTCACATAGGGCCGTGGAACATAAGTGCTTACACTTCACCTAGTGGCATTCTCCAAATCAATGTTCCAGTGGCACAAAGGTACGCTGGGAGCTCACAGGAGTTCTGTGTCTTAGGCAAGGGCAGTTGATAAATAATGGCGTCATCTCTTTCCAAGACTATTGCTCTTAGGATGGGCTTTATGATCCCAGGCAGTTCAAAGAGATGATGAAATCCCACCCTGCACACACACGTCCTGAGAACACTGATGCTCTGCTGTGATCTTTGTTTGCACTGACTAACTGTATTGCTATGTCTCCCAGCATCAGTTAGCTAGATACTGACTTCATTACCCCTGCTGTTTCTGAGTACCACCTGTGCTTCTATTGACTAGTTTTGTTTATGCTGCCTCATTTAAAAAGGGAAATAAATTCATTTTTAAAAAGGGGAAACTTTATTCCCACCACCGCAGAAAGCATTAGTCTTTGCCAAAACAAACAGATGATAAACATAAAAGAAACAAATGAGAAACCCAGCTAAGGAGGACAGTCTCTTGGGAGGCCCGGCCCAAGTCCTGCTTTTCTCTCTCTGCTGGAAAGAGATTAGCAAGTGTTGGCAGACTTTCGGGGATGGGGGTGGGGGTGTCTCAAACGGAGACTAAGTCTCTCTCTCTCTAGGGAGAGAGGGGTCCTTGGGTGATACAAACAGTTAGTGAGCTTGGCTGCTGACTCAAAGGTTAGAAGTCAGTCCACCCAGAGGTGCCCCAGAAAAGGCCTGGTGCCAAACGTGAGCCACTGAAACCCTACAGAGGGCAATCCATTCTGACACACATGGGGTTGCCATGAGTTGGAACTGACTCAACAGCAAGCGGTTTGATTTTTAGGGAGAGATTGTTAAGAACCATTGAATCGGCTCTGGCTCATATTGATCCGGTACAGAGTTTCTGAGAATCAGCTGGTGAGACTGAACCCACAGTGCCACACCAGGACTCCAGGGAGAGAATTAGAAGGTCATTGAAAATCAAGTCCTCTAAGCGAAGATGCCCCATACTTTGGCAAAACACAACTAAACTGGATCTCCTGAGTAACTTGGAACTCTTTATAAGTTGTGGGGATTCTCCTTCTCTTCATACTGACTGGGGAAGAGGAGGAAAAGTGAAGAAAAGTGCTCTATAATGTAGGGCCTTTGGCACTGTCAAGTACCGTAGGCAATTTTGTAAATCACCAAATCTACTAGATGATCTGACCTGACATTTCCTGCTCTGCAGGGTCATCTTAACCCTCTCATTACTCTTGAACTCCTAAGGAGCTCACATCAGGAGTGCAGCAGGTAAGGCTTCTTCCTCCTACTCCACTAGCAGGACCTTCAACCCCTAGTGTGTACTCTACAAAGCTCTTTGTGTAGGATTCACCATTTACTCCCAGGGAATCACAAAGCGACTCACAGATGTTCTTCTGAGGGGCCCCAATAACCAGGAGCTCCTTCTGCCTGCTTGGCTCATGCTCAGAGCTCAGATCCTCTGTGAATGTGGATGGGTTAAATGAATGAGAACTGACAGCCAGAAACCACTCTTTACCCCCAAAGTGCCAGTTACTGTATGTATGTAAGTCCCTGATAATGGGGATAAAGTATCTGGTATAATATGCCCGGTGCATCCAGTTTAGCATTACACCATATTCAGAAGAGACTGTTCTTCTGCACAAATACCAGACAGACAACAAGGGAAATTTGTGCCATGAACAGAGTAGCTGCTAAATCAGAGGGCCTTGTGAGCACGCTCGCACACAGGATTTATTATTTGAAAGCAGTGTTAGTAATGGCATGCAGTTGGGATGGGGGAATGCTGTAAAGGTAATCATTAAAATGAGATTCTCCCTGTATTACGTGGTGAATTAAAATTTTCATTAAAGTCCCAACAATAGGGAACAGCTAAGTAAATTATAGTGCGTTAACTGGATGGAATATTTAGCAACCATTAAAATGATAAATTTGAAGATTATGTAGCTACACAGAAAAGTATGAATGAAATTATGCTAAGTTAAAAAGAAAAACCCAAGATTGTTTATGTGTTGAGGGCAAACTGTATAATGTGGGCTTTCCAAACAAGTCCTGGGCTCCAACGAGAATTCTACTCCTTGTTTAGAAATGGCTGAGAGCACCAGCAGCACATACTTTGCCCATACCATCTAGACTCCGATGACAGCGTTGTGATAAGTATAGAAGCACACAGGTAAAGAGCTGAGAACCGGATATAAGAAGGTAAACAATAACTGAGTATTACAGAAGGGACTGCTGCTAAGCGCAGTTGAGTTGGTTCCGACTCACAGCGACCCATATGGGGTTTCTAAGGAGTGGCTGGTGAGCTTGAACCACTGACTTTGTAGTGGTTAAGTGCTTATCCTACAGCACCCCACCAGGACTCCTAGAGAAGGGATATGGCATCATTATTTTTGAAAGTTGTTTTAAATAATGAATAAAGACACTAGTACAAACAAAATATAATTACAGCAGGAACACATGAATGTTAATATGCTTTTCAACGGGATGGGTTTATGGGAGGTAGCACCTGTTTTTCCCAGAGAAAAACATCCATTTAGGGAATATCTTCTCTTCTGGGAAAGATCCACTAGGAGCCTCCAGGAATGATGGGCTCTCTGGACACCGCTGTTTCTAATGACCAGACTACTGTCTTTATTAGCCAGACCAATCTGTGATGGCTCAGAGACTGATCTCATAAGGGAGCCAGTATGTTTGAAGTCACAAATTATCTGGCTATCACCATCTATAAATTCATGGAGAATAACCTTTATTATCGGGTGGCAGGCTGTGATTTCATGCCTCTTAGGCAGTGAACAGAAACACTGAATTGACAAGGTGGAGATTTCATTTGACCTTGGGAGAAAGGTTTGCAAGTGGAACTACATATGGAGAAAGTACAAGAAAAAAAAATAAAAGCACTTTCTTTAGAATCAGAAAACACATTAGAACTGGAGGAGGTTCACTCAACCCCTTTAGTTTCTGGATGGAGAAACTGTCCCGAGGGCACAGAGCTGGGAAGGCTAGGTACGTAGGTGTACTGTCCAAGGACTGGATGGCATGGAAAAGCCTGTCCCTGGCAGGATGGAGAAATCAAGGATTGAGGAACAAGAGCAGGCAGTTATTAGAGTAAGCGTACTAGGACTGAGCTCAGTGTGACCAGGAGCCTCCTGAATAGTTTGAATGGGGGCTCAGGGTTCCCCAAACCACAAGCAATGAACTACACTTTGCTCCAGTGTTCAACTCTTAGTCTTCTTTTATGCTTTGGCTGCCAGGAAGCTCGGAGAGCTAATTCTGATACTGAACTGCAGGAAGGTATATTAGGCTAGGTGTTAGGCAGATTCACTCCATCACTCCCCCACCACTTGTATGAGGATTTTGTCTCCTAACAGTTACACTATATGCATTTCTTTTTATTGTAGGCACAGCTTTAAATCTGTATTTTAAAAGCAAATAGACACACCTCTAAATAAAAAACAAAAACATACAAAAGACACTTAGTGCTGCTATTCATGTTTAGTATCTTTTATCAGTAAGAAGATCAGAAGAAAAATCTTTTATTTATTTTTCAAGAATGGAAAAATAGGGGGTGGGCCTTGACTCTCCGGGAGGCTGGAGGCTAAGGTAGTCAGCACTCCTGGATGCACCTCCATTATTCAGCAGCACCCACATCCAGCCAGCTTTGCACCTGGCCAAGCATTTACTAAATGTCCAGCACACAAGACAGATGAATGTGACATGGTGCTGGCCCTCAGAAGCCCTCTGGTGAGAGTGCTAGAGCTGTCGATGCAGAAGAGGCACAGGTGTCATAACAACGAGCTAGGGGGCATGTAGATGCAGAGAACTGAGAGACCGCTTTTTGCTGGAGAAGCCAGGGAGAGCCTTCAAGCATTTAGACAC